TAGGCATAGAGTTATATGTTCGACAAAACCATTTATGAACGAAAATCAAAAAAATATAAAAATATGCAAACAGATATGCCGTTATATTTCGTAGGATGTTAGGCTGAACACGGTTCCTTTTAGTTCCCGGGTGGCTTGAGCCGGCAAATCAATAGATTCGCGCTATGCAATCATGTCTTCTTTCTTCCTCAGTTTTTTCGACAAAAATGAACTGTCTTTGTCGAGTACAAGCAGATAAATTTAATTATTTGCCGTTGTATTTCTTTATTGTACTGCAGCTGCGTCAGTTCGCTTTCATGATGCGAGTTAATTAAGAAAACGAAAAGTGAATTCCTCATAATTATTATGAATTATTCTCATTTAGACGGGGAAAACATAGCTTCATCAAGGCATCTCCATTGACCGGCTTCATGTGTATTTCGCATGCACTTGTAACCGGCAAACTTAACGGCACTTTTTTAAAAATGGATTCATAATTTCAGCAGCAAGATTAAAAGTCCAAGCTATCGCTCGCATTGGGGATAGCAGAAACGAAAAAAATAGCAAGAATGCTTTGTAACCCTTGGAATGTCGTCTTCCTCTCATTGTCATACTGTGGTCATTTCTTCTTTCATGACATTCATGGTCAGACGTTCTTCTCTATTTGCATTTCACCAGCAAGAAGTGCCTTGATTTGAAGCAGAGCCGACAGCAGCTTGGCACAATGCGTAATCCCCCAATTCGTTTCAGCAGTGCGGTAACTCATTTATGAACCTCAAAAAATCGAAAGGCTCTGAGTCTGAGGCTCTACCAACTAAGCAATCCCAGTTTAAGGACAGCGGGAGACGACCGAACACTGAATTATGTCACAAAGGTAAAAATTGGACTGACCGGACGCTGTTCAAAAGAAGTGATTGTGTGATAAAAGGAACAACGAAGGTTCTGTTGAAGAAGTGTAAATTTCTCAAGGTCTTTATTTTTCTAAATCTGGTTTCATTCATTTTAGACTCAGCAAGGAAACTGCTGCAAAAATACTTCTTTTCCACAGTAAGGGAAAAGTGTTACGATCCAGCCATGGCAAGAAATCGAGCAGCTGTTCAGTTTTTATTATTTTACAATGGCTCGATTCATATGCCAGTAATCCATGGGCTTTTCTGAGCATGCATTTGCGTTCGTTATCATACGCTTTTCATAAAATTACGTGTTATACAAAAAGTTTCACTTGCCTCGCTATGCCACTTTAATTGGCTTTAAAGTTATATTTGACTCAGTACCTTATTCAGTTATATGATAAACCTTGACATGTGGGAAACATGAATCTAAACATCTGGTTCACGTTTAAGATGAAGGTAGATGAAGTTGTGGAGGACTACCTGACCGGTTTCTTATCTATGGAATTAGCTCAGAGTATGTTCATTCCCTTATGCTATTCAAAACTGTTCTGCATCGTCTTCCATATCGGTACTAATCTAAATGACGATAAATCTTTGAAAACCAGAACAGAGTCATCTTTGATCGCAATACAATGCAATCTCAGTATTTGCCCAGATCTTGAATGATACCTTAAAAAACAGCTTCTGAGTTTTTCACAAAATCTGAGTTCTTTTTTTAAGTAGCTAGCTGAGAAACAACAAGCTTGGATCTACAGTCAAAAGAGCCTATTCTAAAGTGAGGATTGAGGAATACCAAAAGCGATCAGAAGGAAGCGTTCAGCCAGCACCGTTTCACATGCCAAGGAAGAAAAACACGATTTATTTCGACCAGTAAACAAGCGACGGTTCTTGACTGAGAAAGAGACAGACCAATGCTGGTTATTAAAGAATCCTTGAACGTTTCTGTCAACAGGCGAAGGACGTGAGACAACCGCACAGGACATCCGTTCATCCTGCAAGTGCCTGATATGATCTGGACCTGTCCGTAATATTTTCATTCGTTCACTCGTTTTCCTTCCTCTTACTATACTTTCAATATGTTTCTGACTCCGCGTTTTACCACACGCTATTTAGAAATTTTTTTCTACCCATATGTCGCTTATTCTACCATCTCTCTACCACTGAAATTTTTTGTGTTACCTTGACAATGGCTTTTGAACTGGACGACAAAACGTAGGATTAGTATTTAAAAATTCATCGTGATCAAGGCCGTCGTTTGTTTAAGAAATGAACAAGAAAAATGTTTCATCAATGTACGTGGACGCAGCTAAAGATATTTAGCCAAATATGAAATTTTAACGGTGACGTCAAGTACGCAGGTAATGTATGATATATTTTGCATATATGAAATACTGGTGCAAGAAATGATTTGAACGTCTGGCTAGTTCAACTGGACATTCGAGAAGTCGAGCGCCATGAGGAACAAATGCGGAACAACGCTTCTGAATATGCAACAGTGAGATGAAAAAGTGGGGAAGTCGTCTGTTCCATCATCTGTAGCAACCGCACGAACCATTTTGAATTAAACATTAGAAACTCTCATGCTTGCGCTTCTTCGTGGACATGCCCCGTCAGATGAATGAATTATAATCCTGATCCAAAGGGTCGATGAATGAATATCATATAACGTGTCATAATCCTGATCCAGAGAGTCGATGAATGAATATCATATAACGTATAATAATTTTGATCCAGAGAGTCGATGAGTGAATATCATATAAAATATTATAATTCTGATCCAAAGGGTCAAGGGGCAATGCAATGCGGGAAATAAATCAGTCTCTAGTTATGAATGGTAATAAAGACGAAACTGAAATTGTGTGAGTCTCTTCCAGTGTGTACGCACTTGCTCTTATCTACAGCCATGAGCGCCAACTATGAATAGAAAGAGTGTGGCCACAACGACGACCGGCAGAAATGAGGTTTCTTCAAAGTTGAAATGGAACTCGAGATGCCTTCGGCTGTGAACCGCTCTTCCTCTTGGTCTGAAGATCACAATCGCTCAGGTTTGGTCGTGTTATCAGGAAGATGAGGAACCTTTCGGAGCACTCTGTTGGAAAATCCAGACGAACACCGTCGATGGGCAAACCTCAGACTACATAGCGATGATATAAATGCCCTGGCATCGTCGTGCTTTAGAATCTAGACACGGTCTAACATTGGATCGGAACAATTGAAAGGGCATCTGGAAGCTGCTGCACTCGCCACCTGCAAAGAATTGCTTGCCTCGAAAATGAACGACTATCAAGAATAAGTCAGCACCATTTCCCGTCAAGTTAGTGTTGCCATAAAACACAAACAATATAAATCATAACTGATAATAAAGTGTGTATGAAACTGCGTGCTTCGGTTATAATGAGGTTTAATGGCAGAGCCATGAGAGTTAAATTGCAGTACTAAACAGAGAACGATTTTGGCCTGTTCGGGGCACAAATCTGATTTGTAGAGGTAGAAAATAGAAACGTATGCTCGATTCCATTAGGCGATGTTGATTTAAAACACACTTTTCATTCCAGCAAGATTATTTCTACTGGAACTGGAACACAGCAATTTTGACCAGGAGGCCAGTATGCAACATGAATAAACAAAGCAGGGACGGATCTGCCTTATAAGAGGGGTTGTTCCTCCTATATGCATTGCCATAACATGTTGGAAATAGCAAAATTACTGACAATTAAATATCTGTGAAATCTGACCTTGGAGAAATACGCGTTATGTGACATTCTACGGCGTATGAACATGATTTATCCTTAACCGGTAACACATAAGGGTTATAGCTTCCGGAACGTCGTTCGTGAATGCAAGGTGTGTCTAGCGAACAAAATGATGCGAGTACATTTGGCCTTGCAGGTGGTAAAATAGAATTCAGTGGTAATCTGTTTAAATGTTCCCAGGCAACAAGGAACATGATGCGGTGCAATGCGCTGTGAAATTTGGCATTGAAAGAATTATGCGAGGTCTATGATAGTTCGAAAGTGCAGCTGTTCAGTGAGGTCTGAGGACAACTAACATGCCGCGAGGGAACGAATGCCATACCTCATAACGTTGGACTTAAGTCACTAGTGGCGTACTCATCTGGCTGCTTCGCCAATGTGTGTTCCATTTCAGAAGTGACATACGTTACTTGAACGTTTGTGATACTGTCAAGGCATGGCGGCCCCTCAATCGAGTAGGGTAGCCTGGCTAATAGAGTAAACTTTCCTCTGTTCCTAAGCAACCGAGTCAGGGCTAGCGGATGATCAAAACTGACACAAATTCGTTATCTGACTTGCTCTTGATATGACTTCCCCCTAAAGGCAACTCCAACGACTCCAGCGTTCTTGATTGCCTGCTTTTTGCCCTCATGGCGCGCCCACAACGGATGAAAGTTTGTCTTGACTTTTATGATCAGTTGTTCAACCACCATTTTGAACGGCTGGCAGAAAATGTCTCATGTCACTCAATGCTAAGTGTTTGTTTCCAGAGAAATTACAGTATGCCTCAATTCATGGGAGAAAATAGTTTTTTATGCGTGCCACTTCTCAATCGCAGCAGTGATGAGCGTACAGGAGAAGGACTTTGGTTGTTCCTTGCATTTATAGGAGTACAATCAACTTGAGGCATTTCTGCTTCTGCTGCTTTGGCTGTATGACAGAGATACGCTGTCCACCTTCACTGTAACAAACCTTTGTCAAGCAGGAACAAACAAGGTAAAAGAACTGCGGATGCCCCGCACATCACAAATCAGAGACACCCTGCCTATGCAAATGGCTCCAAGGGAGGATCTGAGTGCAAACGCACTCAAATCAGAAGGGAGATCAACGACCGCCGATTTCATAAGGCGCCGACAATAGCACCTTCGCGTTAGAAACGTAAATACGGCATTGTTTCTGCCCGTAGTTATCGACTTACCGTTCCATGCTGCAGCATGACCACTCACAAGGACGGTAAATTGCAATCAGCGCTAGGTAATTACCTCTGTTCGACTGACCAATCAGCGTCCATCGCGGTGACGTTAAATAGCCGGTTAGAGCACGGTTCCGGCTCATATGCTGAGTCGAGACTCATTACAGTGAGTGTGCGTGACTGTGCGAGGTTGGAAGCCGGTTGATGAAGCTGACTAGCGTTATACTCGCCGTGTTTACGGCAGTTGCAGTGGCAGCAGGGGCGGCGACAACTCCGAAGGGTGTCGCACTGGAGAAAGACCTCACAGAAGATCTCATAAGCGACCTCGACCTGGACCGCCTGTACCGCGGCGTGCTGCAGGGACATGGAGCACATCTGCCGGATTCCGGCATGGCCAAACGGCGCTTCTACCAGTGGGCCGGAAAGCGACAGGACTTGTCGCAGAAATCCATTGCCGACAACTTGCCGAACCGCGTCGAAACCGAAGAAGGGCCACACCCATACCATCTCCTGTATTACTTGCTACCGGACACGCTACAGCAATTTGAAGGCAACAGCGGCGGACCAAAGTCGACTGAGCAACAAACACTGGAAAGACTGAGAAGAAAATTCTACCAGTGGGCCGGCTAGAGGTGAGAGGGAGAGAGGATGCGTTTCCGTGACGTGGCTGCTGCTCAGAGGTGATGTCGATGTCATCTAAATGATTGATTCGTATTATGTTTACATATGGAATATTTAAACTTTATGATTTAAGTAAATTTTAACTTTCATTGATAGTTGCACTGGTAGACATTCATTACGTGTATTAGCCATCGCGTAACTCCCAGGTAAACACCGGATCTGAATCGCGCCCTGGGTCGTTTTCCCACAGGACCCCTCGGGCGATAACTATGTTTATCACCTGACTGGAGCTTGCATCGGTTTAAGGGCTTGTATTTTACCAACCGCCGGTATGGGGTACTTATGACGGTTATCACGCAATCGTCTGCGTAACACTTTCGTCATAACCTCTTCCCAGGCTTCCTGTGCTCTCCTCGCTAAAACGCAGGTTGAGGTATCTGTCATGTGACATTGCCAGCTATTAGGCAGTTGCATCAGGCACGAACATGCATACGGCAGTACAATAACTTATTTTCCTGTTGAGTTTGAGACAGAAAAAAATCTCCTATGCCTCACACGCACCGCCGTGTAAGTAGTTGAGGAACATTCTCAAACGAAGCGCTCCAATTCACAAGAAACTTGCTCTTCTGCTGACCTTCCGTGAAAATTACAAATACAGTTTCAATTTCTGGCAAATGTAAACATCGACCGATAGATGAGTGACGTGGTTTAATTCCTTCCGTTCATACTGTAAACGATCGATAATTTATTGCACTTAATTCACTTTATCCCATGTTTACCAAAGCATGTGCTCGATGGTAGAAGCGACAGTGCTTGTTTTAAAGTCCTTCTTCCATCGGATCTTGCAGTGGCCAGTTGCAGGCAAATAATGCAAGTTGCAAAGGAGTGCGTTGACAACTTTTGTGACACAATCTCCAAACTCATCCATGAAATCCACAAAACATTTGCAGATTTGCTACTTTCATGATCTGCACGCTGACGTCTAGAATTCGAAGCGACGGGCCTCTCTCGCCATGTGGTAAAGTACCTGAAAATCAACTATCATTTGTGCATATACTCATTACTTGCTACTTGGTACTTAAGGAAACGCTGCAACGTTTTTTTGCAAGCTTCATGAAATAGGAAAGCTCTGACTGATTGCTGTCAATGGAAGATAGCAGTAGAGTATATGAATGATCAACACGTACTCTTAGGAAGAACTCGAAAATAAGGGTCAAAAGGCTGAAGGAGGGCTACCTAGGAAAACAGAGTAAGACGAAGACGCCTGCAGCCATTAGAACGGAATAAAAATAACAACGGTAGGAAAGATTCAGGGAGGTCGTTTCGTGTTAGGCACAATTTGAACAAACAACAAGATGGTGATTGAGCGGTTTTAACTGTTTTGGTAGCCATGGCTAAAGCGACTAGCCACTCTGCTGTTACGCGCATGAGTTTCAATTACGACTCGCTTTATCTCGTTTCACACGATCCCAAAATCACTGCTTCAAGGATGGCATCAATGTGCACATCAGTAAAATCTGGCGTCACTTAAAATGTCATATTCCAAAGTCAAAAAAAACCAATAGCCCTTAAATAAAAACGCATTTGCCATAAAACATGAACCAACGAGTTACAAAACAAAACAATTTTCCTCAGACAATGGAGCAGATGTCAGGCGAATAACTGAAGCTATGCACCAGCAGGCATACGCAAACAGTTTTTGTTTTTTGCCATTCATTGTCTTGATGTTGACGGCATAAATTTGCATAAATAATATGTTTGACAACCGATAAGTCCAGACAGTTTTTTACCAATGAAGAGGGGTCACTCCTACGATAGAGAGAAACCCATGAAAAAACCTCGAGCAATTGCAGGAGAACTCGCACAAGAGCAACGAACAACAGATATTAGTCCTTTAGAAGATGAAGTCAGAGTAACTGCAATAAGTTTTGAAAGTGCCAAGGCTCCTGGAATCGATAAAATCCGCCTTGAGGCGTTTAACGTTTTGGGCCAACAAGACATGTGCTTCCTTACACCACTCTAGCGGCTACGGAGAAGGTACCAGTGGACTGAAGAAAGGGAGCCATGTTACTTCTGTTCAAGAAGAAGGAGAAGAAGTAGAAAATAGGGATTGCTGCAATCATTTGTGCATCATATTAAGCTTCTCTAGCAAAGGTGTGAGAAATGAGGCGCCGTCGAAAAACTAACTCAAAAATTCAAAAAGACCAGAGAGACAGAGATCTGTCTGAAGCACCCTTGACCGGATCTTTGTCCTACGCCACGTTGTTGAGAAATAATCCGATTCATATGTGCTTTGTGGACCCAGGGAAATCCTATGAATGGATCCCGTGCAACAATCCAAAGGTCTGTGAACATATGGAATTGATGGCCTATTGCTACAGTCAATTCAATCACTATTTGCTCATAGCACGTAC